AGGTTATGTTATCCTGACAGAGTGATGTATGTTAAAGACCCCGGATAGCAATCGTACTGCTCTGGCTAAATTCTTAACACACGGCGTGAACAAGTGGAGAATTCGCAACTTTTTGGACATAAAAGGGGCGCACTAGTTTCTATTTAAACGGCTGTCATCTGAATGATCGTCATAGAGTCAGCATCGTCTGATCGTCTGCTAAAAAGGGAATGCTCTCGGCGCCGTATGCTCGTTTCTTGGCGGCGTTTGTTCCGCCATCTCTTGTCTCCCGCGCGAAACGGCGCCGTGTTGTTTGCAGACTGGTGGCGTCGCTGCGTTTCCATAGGAGCTAAGTCTTTTCCTTTTTTCACTTTTTCCTCAGGTAAGCTCGCTCTTTGCAAATTTTACACAAAAAAAAAAAATGCACCATCTGTGGGCAACGCTGCACAAAGTCGTAGCGCGATAGGTTAAGAAACCGAATTTTGCGGTCGATTTAAAGAGCCTGGCGTCTCCTTGTTTCACCCTGTAGATACTCACCAGTGTTGCAGAGTTTCCACTCCTGAATTGAAATGATTCCGGAATTATTCCGCACTTCCGCGACCCCGGAGTGCAGTGGGAATGGAATGGCGGCAGCGGTGGGGGAATGGGATGGGAATGGAATTCAATGCCTTTTGCTCGGAAGGAAGTAAGAATGGAATGGTTTCGATTCTTATGCAAGCTCTGTTGATTTTCATTCAGGGCCTATGGGCTAATTGCGCAATTCTTTAGGGCATGGCAAGTGGCTCCTGAAACAGCATCATTGCACTTGATGTGTCTGATGGCTTGATTGTCTCACTGATGTATGCTCCGTCGAGGCTGAAAATGGCGCGCCGTCAGTGAAGCAACCAAAACTGAATAGTTGTAGACGGACAAGGTGTCTTTCCTGGCGCCACGAGACGCGACAAAGCGGCTGTTTTGTCATGCGCGGTTAGCATGTAGCAGTTACCCAGGCCGTCGAACCGAACCGAAAACCAGAGCAAAACCGTTATTTTGAACTGAATCGGAACAAGACTGTAACCGAAATCAAACATTTGATAATGAACCCGAACCGAAACGGAACCGTAATCTCATGTGGCGGCTACCGATTCATTAGAACCGGTCCGGTGTAATACAATCTGAGCCGCGCATTCTCGCGGATGGCTGCGCGAAGTCAATTGACTCAATCAAATAATACAATGCCGAGGGCACGGTGGCCTAGAAGCTAAAGAAGTATTATGTGTGTGCGTGTGTGTGTGTGTGTGTGTGTGTGTGTGTGTGTATGTGTGGGCCCGTGTATCTGTGTGTTTGTGTGCGACTTCTTTTCTTGCTCCGAAGCAATATTAATGAGGGAAGAAAAAAGCAAACATAAACGTGAAAATAAAAACAAAAAGTTGGCGGCTGTCGGCGCGTTTGTTCCGGGGTGACGAAATCTGTAGGCGCGAAGATGCGAAGCCTCGACGAGCGCGACTGCGACACCGGTTGCCGGGACCCCGCCAGTCGACCAGAGTCTCCTCCTGGAAACAGCAAAGCGCCCGTTGTATTTTTGTCGTTTTTTTTTTTTTTTTAATTGTTTTTTGATGGGCCATCCCTGTCTTTCTCCTCTTCAACTTAGTCGTTCGAGCACGTCCTTTGGGGTGCGGTGTGGGCAGTTTACCGTTTCGATATGGATGAACATCGTACCGGCGTGCGGTGTGAATCAGTACTGCGTGATACAAGTTAAAGACTCCACACTAGCAGTCTACTGCACTGGATAAATTTCTCATCTGCAATGGGCGACAATGTCACCATACTCTGGCAGACTGAACTCCCGCTGTCTTAATACTTTTCGACGAATTTGCTTTTTGTGGGTAGTTTGCGAGTACGATGCGTGATACCGTCACGGTGTCACTGTGCCTGCTGGCTGGTTGACTTTGCATGTGAGTACTGTACTTTGTTACTGGTGTCCAATCGCCTGTATACCATGTAATTTTCATAGAACGGTGTTCGCGTTAAGAATTTAAAATCAGAAAACGATATTATATATGTATTTGTTTTGCTGTTTTTGTTTCCTCAACACGGCTTTTTATGACCTATTTTCTTTTCTTAATGCAGATGACACTAAGTCACGTTTTCTTCTTTTTAATGACAGAGTTTTTGGGGTTTTTTTTAGTATCAGGTTTAAATTGACTTGCGCTTGATGGGACCTGTAACTGAACCGTTCTTTCAAACACATCACTGTACCAGAACCGAACCGCAACAAAACTCAATGTTACTGAGCCCGAGCCGAACCGGAAAAATGAGCTGTTCGACTCCCTGCTTTTACGTTTTAATGCAGGCTTCCATAATTTGTTCTATACTCCCTTGCTCTGGCGCTGTTTACCGATTGCACTTTGTCAGCAGTTTTCTGTGCTTACCGCAGTGCGTAGAGATTCCGGACAAGCATTCGCCTCGAGATCAAACTAAAGGTGGCGCTACTGTCGCGCTATCATCATCATCAATGTGGGGATAGGAGGATCCGCGGTTGCGGTCAAAAGCCTGCAGACTACCGCGCTTATTGCCTCGTACAGTATCATTGTGCAAGCAATTTCAACACAAAATAGTCCCATAGCGTTCATTGCTTCAGTGCAATACCTATTGCACCGAGGTGAGGGTCAGTTTTCACCGATATCCAGCGGCCGGCGCCCTGAGGAAAGAGTGGCTCTCGAAGTTGAGATCACATTCACGCGATGATTTGCCCTAAACATTTCACCGCCGAAGAATTTAAACCAACGATGCATGACAACCAAGTTAAGTGGGAAAATAAAACTGTTCACGTAAGTGTCACGAGTGGCCCAAAGTATATAGTACGCGTAAAGTGTGCGCGTTGGTGCTTGCTTACTGCTAAGCAGTGTGATCGTCCTTAGTGTGGGCTCCCCCGCTGCGGTGTCTTTGGAGAAGATGCGAGTGTCATGAACTTATTACTGCGTGACAATCCGACTTTTGAAACATTGTACAATTATCACTCCTACGAGCCTCCTTAAGGAGGCATGGACTGCACCGGAAGTGACTTGCTCAGTGCCTGCGTGCGCGTCTGACGCACCTGATCAATTTTTAAGTTTCGTCGGAAGTAAGCGGTAAATAGGGCTGATGGCAACTGGTCAATCTACCGACGAAGAAACAGGGGCTATCCAGCTTAATCAATTACTTGCTTATACTCCATGAATTTTGCTTACCCTCCGCGTGACGAAGGTTTTGTGCCACTTCGCTTGAAAAACGAATGTTCAATGGCAAATCACGCTACACGAAGACGGCATGAATACATCTAAGTTTAACAGCTACCTAAAGAACATGGGTTCCACGTACAAAGATCGAGCCATTCTTTTTCTTAGGTGAGTGCACCACCTACTGAAAAACCCTTTGCGAGCCCCATATTGTCGATAATTACAAAAATAGCGAAAAATAAAGGCACGTGAGTACCTCTTTTTTTTAAGTCCAGAATTCAAGTCTTTAGAATTAGCGAGAGTTAGCGGACCCGAATAGATTTCTATACCTAATTTTTGAATAATCGGGATCGCAAAATAAAAAAACGTGTGCAGCGTTTAAAACGATCGGGAGGACCAATCGTGCGATTATCTCAAAGACGTATCCGGCCGTTGCAGTTACTGAGAATAGTTATTCAGCAGGTCGAGTGCACGAAAGTTCCTCAATCGTGGCACCGTTCGTGAGTTTCAGATCCACAGTGCGGGGATCCTTGCCGTGAGCCGACGACTGTAGTACGTAACTCCGCACGTGTACTCTCGTCGACGTGGTCGTTGGGGCCGCAACGCTGCACTCAATAATGTGCCCGGCATTCACAAGTTGTTCGCCTTTGGCAAGGCACCGCTTTCCGTAGGCGATGTACTCCATAATAGTATGCAATGGCACTGAAACTGAAACAAATAACCACATCACAACAACAATCACAGTATATAATCATCCGGCTTCTCATTCCTTGCCTTCGCGTATTTCTACTCTCGTGGAACCATACAATCTGTTCGAAGAAACAACCAGTCACAACGGAAATAGCGCAGTTTACCCGAAAACAAGCCTTCATCGTCGCGAGGATTCATGTTTCAACGGGCGCTGAGAGCAGACGACGTTCAACAAATCCATACTAGCAGTGTTTCCAACATCTGCCGAGGCGAATACGTGGCGTTGCTTCTAACAGTGCACTGGCGGTGCTGTTGCGCAAGTATACCAAGCACATCGCAAGTCCAATAATCGTTGGACCTCATAAATTTATTCGTAAATCACACATATCTAAAGTGAGATATCACCCAACTCAAATGATTTTATTATAGCGCAACGAAGAATTCTTTCAGTTAGCTCCTTACTGAAAGTCAATAATAACGGTAACATAATTCCGAGACTGGAACCTCAGGCTTATGACAAGCAGGTCTTATAGCGCTGTATATCATCGCAAAAACTTGTCCAAGATGATTCGTTCTTTCTCCGCCCTCTGTGTTGTTTACCTTTTATCACGGCGCTGCCTGCTCGCTTCGTATAAACATCACATGTCTTTTAACTATTTAGATGTTTTCTGTTAACCGCGCACTATAGTTTCCTGGAAAGTTGGTAACTTGTTCAATCACTGCAAGCAACAAAAATAAATTATGACCCTTGCATCAAGACGAATATTTGTGTTACTGTAGAGAGCTCGTACTCATTACCTGTATTTTTTAAGTCACAGCTTTATATGAAAAACCTGGACAGAAATCGCTCGCCAACGTTGGTGTTGGTCTCACTAAAAAGACCACGGGAGAGAGTGTCATTAACGAAGCGCAGTTGTTAGTTTGACATCATAGCTCGGGCAGGTAATGGCGTTGTGCCGCACGGAGGGGAAAAGGGGGAGGGGGAATAATGGGTGCGCTATCACTCCCCTCTCTCCCCCTCTCCTGAGTAAGAACGGTAGCTGCGTAGTATGGTAGGAACTGCGTATTAGTGCTATCGCACATTCATTACCTTTGACGAATCAACTAAGCCAGGCTATTTCTTTTTTCACGCAGATGACGGGCATGCCGGCAGCTCGCTGGGGCGGTTACCCTCGCCTCTTCACGGAGAAAACTTCGTCGCTGCTCAACGAGGCTTTGCAGATGCTGCACAGGGCTAAGGATATCCGGGAACGACGCTGGCTCCAGATGTACGTCCAGAGGCTGGCCACCCTTTCAGGGGACCTGGAGCGGAGCACGACCAACTTTGGGTCGCCTTCGACGGTGCCATCGCCGCAGCGGAGGTCTCAACAGCAGACGGTACCAACCACGGGACAGATTAGCCCTCCGCCGTCACCGTCGGCTTCGAGGATGAAGACACGAACAACCACCCAGGGTTCGTTCAGACTCGCAAGCTTTCTGCATCCAGAGACATCTTGAGAGTCTAGATTTCAGAGAGGGACCATTTCGAACCATGGAGAGCGTTTGTAATTTAATGGTGGACACCTTCTTTGCAAATTGCTTGCTTGTGCGCGTACGGGCCTCGCCATGTGGCGAGGCGCATTGCCGGCGGAGACGTAGAGCCAAGCTTGGAGATGCGTGTATATACATTTTCCACGGGGGCGCCGCGTCTTGAATTGCGGTCACTTCCGGTATGGGCGACGACAAAATAATAAAACGTTTCAACCTGTAACTCGCAAAAAAATAGAGAGGAGCCAAAACGAGAATGTGTGACGGTTAGGCTTATATCCTAAACGTCTTCTATTGGCGTTTCGACGGCAAAACAATGTTTTCGCCCATACTGGAAGTGACGACAATTCAAGATGGCGGCGCCCTTGTGGAAAACGTCTATACAGACGATCGGCGGTTGAGCCCTATATACTTATTAGGGAGTTTTAGTAGACCGTGTTCCTCCCTCCGCGAGCCCTCCGCTACGAGGAAACCGCCACTGCGCCTGCGCGCCAATGGCCTTGGCTGTAGAGTTCCGGCTAGCGGAGGGGCTTAAAAAAAGGGAGTTTTCGTAGACCGCGTTTCCCACTCCGCTAAGCCCTCCGCAACGAAGAAGCCGCTAATAGGGAGTTTTCGTAGATCGTTTCCGCTGTCCCGCAACGCTCTCCGCAACCAGCTACGCTAGCCGGAACTGTACAGTCAAGGCCGTCGGCGCGCCGGCGCAGTAGCGGCTGCTTCGTTGCGGACGGCTTAGCGGAGGGGGAAACGCGGTCTACGAAAACTCCCTAATGCGTCTGCAAGCCGATGGCCTTGACTGTAGAGTTCCGGGTAGCGTAGCGTGTTGCGGAGAGCTTTGCGGGACGGCGAAAGCGATCTACGAAAACTCCCTAAAAACTCGCTATTATTCGCAACTCCAGCGCGGCACTCGCTCTTCCGCGGACGAACGAAGAACCAGAGGAGCGGGGACGGCAGCGGCGGCGGCGGCACGGAAACGGTGGCAGGGGCTGTCGGCCTTGATGCCTGACGCCGTTTTAACAAAAAAAGTGAGCGCGTTAAAATAGGAATTATCGTGCGCCGCCTTGCAACAGCCTTGCACGAGGGACCGGGATGTCTAATTTCATTAGGGACTTTTCGTGTATCGCATACGCTGCGGATTTCTGGTCTTGTGCATGTCCGCCAGCTCAAGCTGTGCTCAACGTGACGGAAAACGCTCCCGCTAATAATGAAGAACTTTATAGAACGGTCTGCGGAAAGCTTATTCTTTGCCATAAGTAGGAGAAAACTCGTCGGGCAACGGTATGTCGAGCAATACAAATCGGAAATGGGTTCGCGTTTTAAGGCCGTGACAGGGAACATGACAATTTTTTCCAATCACTTTAAAAAAGACCGAATACCCGTACTTTCTTTCAGGTAATTACAAAACAAATAAAAATAAATAAAATAAGATGCCATAATAAAAAAAGAAATAAGATGCTCGAAGCATTTTAAGCGCGTCTGTGTTAGCCAGCCGTTTGTGACGAGAGCTTAGAACGCGCAGTTTTGGCCAGAGGGACCGCTATGTTGCAAATGCACGATATATTAAAATATATTTTTTTGATAGAGCAATAAATAAAATCCCTAATCACGCCGCTTATGTTAATAAGCAGTTTTTTTCACAGCGTACGACACCCCTAAACTTCAGTTGGACGCACAGCGCACTGACGTTCAACCGGCGCTACCAACTTTCACGAGCGGCTTGATAGCCGAGTTGCGCAAAATATTAAAATAGCTTAGGTAAGTGTAAATGGCTGTAAAAAAAAAATAAGTAATAGTGTTTTTTTTGGCCCTAATGAAAAACCTTAGTGGTTTTTGTTTTGGTACTGTTTGGTGCATACTTTAGCTATTTAATATCTTATATTGCGTCGTCATCAAGCCTCTCGTAAAAGTTGAGGCCGTCAGTTTGATATCAGTGGGCTGCACAGCGAACTGAAGTTTCGGAGTGGCGTATATGTGACAAGAGGTGTAAGAACTACAACATTTTGTTCTTTTTTTAGAGAGAGGCAACGCTCCTGGCGCGCACTGCAAAATTGTGCTTCAAAGGCGCAGCGCGAGCTTGCGGTTTTAATGCTACACCGCAGGGTAGCCTGCGGTAATAAACTTTTTATCAATAACCATAGAGCGGTTTGATTACGTGTTGCAATACACTAAAACCGAGACGGTGAGCAGCGTTTTGACAGGCTGTGACGTGAAGACGCCAATACTGTGCATTGCTGCTCTTCCGAAGCTTGACGGTCACCGCTCGCAGCTCTCTTTTTAGAGCGCTAATGGTCAGGCAAAACGTAAACATGATATCTTCGTCACCCTCGAAAATATTCCGCCACAAACAGTAACGTCGCCGGTGCCTGAAAGGCGCTCGCTTACCACAAAGCTTCGCACTTTGAGGTTTCTGCAACTTTTAAATAACAGCATGCTCATTTTCCTAACGTGCATCAGCATCTCCGTCACCTGTTATATGATCTCTCCCTAACCGCCTCGCATTTGTAGACAAATAAATCATTTTTAGCGCGCTGAACAGAGTCTGCGAGCAGGCGCACGGGATATCCTGGAGAATCTATCTCCGCCTCTTCCGCCATCTTGGAACTACCGCCCCGCCACCTATAGGGCGTTGGAGTTGCGAATAATGTACGCTAGAGGTTTAACTGGCGCTAGTGTGCTGTAGCAAATTAAAGCAGACAGCAACCATCGGAAATTGAGTTTAGGAAATGCATTTCTATGGGAAAAAGCGAGCGCATTTTTTCCCTGCGCTTGATTATAAGAGCAAATATCACGAATAATTGACGCGTACTAGATAGATTGGAACATTTCTGTCACGCAGACAAGGTAACTGGCCAGTTACGGCGCTTTTATTTAAAATTCATGGCATTAAACACGGTGTTAAAACGGATTAGAACATGTACCTATGTGCTCTGTCGGACACTGTTAGCGCGAACACGGCGTCGGCGCTTTCCAGCATGAGGGATGTCCGTGTCAGACGAACGAAGAACATGTGAAAAACCACGAGAGATGGCAAGAACGACGCAGTAACACTGAATCAGCAACTCCTAGTGCATGCAGACGACCAAAATTAATTAAATGCTTTGCAACAACGTAACATAATCTGATTATTAATAAATAAGTACTGGTTTAATCTTTATCCTCATAAATAAGTGCGGAGATGCTTGTTCTGCATTGAAAACATCGCCTGCGTGTTCGAGATGTTTAAAAAGGGAGAGAAGCAAGAAAACAAGTGCCCGATAAAAGCTGCCCGACATAGGAAATAATACAAAGTGTAACTTTTAACAGCCCACTTACTTTAGTCTTTATGTTTCGAGTTTTTTTGTTTGTTTGTTTTTTTAGCCGCTCGTAAAGATGCACGACGGGGTCATTTTCATATAGCGACACGACGAACATATTACCAATATATGAGCACTACCGGAACGCTCGCGAACCTTGAACACAGTCTGCATTCATTTACACTGTTGTTTTGCTTAGAATCGTCGCGCGTATTTACATACCTGCCATGGAACAGAGGTTTGGGCCTGAAATATAGGGAGTTTCCACTGGCGGCCATGGCTGTGTGCGCGACTGCTGAGCGCGTGCTCATGGCGAGATTCCACAGTTTTTTTGCAACCTGCATTCCACACTAACACGATTGCCGGTCTTAACAACCTATAATGTGTGCTCGTCCGGAACATACGCTCTAAACAGCATCCAAAAATATGTCGTCCATTCAATGCTCCTTATGGCGAAGTTTAACATCGTTCAGTGGTAAAACAAAATGCTGTAACTATAGGCAACTACACGTTTACTTTGTTAATAGCGTACATAACATTCGGTACGACCGAAATAACAAGACTTCTCTAAGTTATTTCCTGGCGCAGAGGCAAAATGCATACGCGTTTTTCCATAGGAATGCAGAGGAGCACCGCAAAAGTAGACTGCTTACAGTCGGCCTCAATTTTCATACCGAAAGTCGCATAGATACTAGCGCCAGTTGAACCTCTAGCGCACAGTAGAATAACTCTACGGTTGTGCCTCCTCGTTGGCCAGATACCGTGTGACCCCGTTCGTGCAGGTGAAAACACTCTCATATCTAGCCGCACGAATTACATCCAAACGGCGCTATGCTGTCTTGTGTAGAACAATGAAACAAATGATTGTAGAAATTATGGTCGAAATTAATTGAAGAATATACAGCGACTCTGATTAAAGTTACTTGATAGGCACTTTGTGTGATACTGAAGAACATATTTGGCTAGGTTGTGCAAGCCATCGCCCGATCAAAACGGTACTGCCGTGCATATATTCACTCTTGCACCTTAAATCTGACTTGTAACTCAAACCCTCAACTTAAACACATAAGCATGCAGGTTAAGAACCCAAAATAACATATATCTTCTTTGCGTATGCAAAGCGGAACTACAATGCAATAGGTATTGGAGGGAATGATCCGCTCGGAAATATATTTGTTCCCTACTTTGAATTGCATATTTGCTTCATAAAACAAGCTTTAAGACAGCCGGCTGGAAATATTGAAAATGTTCGATAACAGATGGTGAAAATAGTTTTTAATTTAATTTATTGATAACCTCCTTTAACAATGCGCAATAGAAAATTATTTTGTTTGCTTCGGGTGAATTCTCTAATGTGTCATACCGAATGGATTTATTAAATTTATATACCCATTTTTCGATTTTAGACACCACGTAAGATGATAAATATGACCCGGAAGAATTGTTCAAAGTAATGAAATTATATATATATAGTTTATCTAATTATTATAAAGTTTACAGATGAAATATTCATCGTTAATAACGAGGGGAAGGGTGGCTTCGCTATAAAAATTGACAAATATTGTGGCTGGGAAATAATTTCAAGTCGTCATTTTAAGCGACAATTTTACTTGGCGACAATTAATTACATATTTTTGTACATTTATACTAAATACGGCCCGTGTTTCAAAGGCCGCCATCTTCCAAAGTGGCGGACACTTAGTGACTTTTCTATGGCTGTCCCGCAGAAATACTGATCCTGCCAAGTGCCGCACTAAGCCCAGAGTGGAGAATAAAAATCAAGTTGATTTAAATTATGATTTAAAGTGTGTTTAAATTAGAACAGTTGCATTATGGTGATTTAAGGAGAGACACTGCCCAGAAAAGAATATTTCTGCAAAAAAAAGTTGATTTTGAAAAATGACATATTTACAACCATCAACATCTAGAGAGTATTCCAAAAAGTTTAATTAATTTACACTGCATAGTTAATTTTCTTATACATTTTTTTTGTCTACCAAAGCTAAAGAAAAGATAGAGTTTGGAGTACTTTGAACACATTTTCCTCCATTCCACTTTTTGGTATAAATTCCATTTTAGTCAATCTGTCGTTTGATAATGGCAAAACAAAAGAAGCTCATTCTTCCCTTTTCCAGACTGAAATTTAATAAGGAATGCGGCTATGGAGTTTTTCTGTCACTTTACGGATTTCTTTTACAAAAAAAATGTTAACATTTTGTCGAATACACAGAAGATAAAAAGTTGACCATTTGCAGAAGAGAAAAGTTATAGAAATAAATGACTTTTTAGAAAAAACGTTCCATAGCCATCTAGGCATTCTGATACATATCTAGCAGATAAAAATCTTGAATGTTGTGATCGTTTTTTGACGATAGATTAACTAAACAATGTAGGCATGTTGCTAATATAAGCTACTCTAATTTCCTTCTCATTTAACCAACAGACCTGAAATTTTCTTATGCATCCTGTAGCATGACCACCACCCTACCCTGTAAATTTCATTTATTTTAAGACAAGGGTTCAAGAGTTGACCCCCCTAGGGGTAGTGTCCCGTTAAGGCAAATCTTTTCCGTAAAACTTATTCCAAAAGTAGTTTTTATTTACCGTTTACGTGTCCTGTGGTGCTCTCTATATTCATTAGTTTTGTATTTAAGTCAAAAAATCATCCAGCAAGAAATATTTATATCAAGTTGAACACGTGTCAAATTCACTACTCTTCTCGGATCTTTGAGCTTTGAGCTTCGTCTCCGTTCGTTAGTTACATAAATCAGAACAAGTAAGAAACGAAGACTAGAAAGGTAATGTCTTATCGCAAGCAAATCCGAATGCAAAAAAAAAAAGCACACAAGTGTGTCTAGCTTACTAGAAAATTCAAGCTGTTTCTCTTCCTGTCTGACTGGGATTACTATAAAAATGTGTTAATTAATGATTTACCTTAAAATTGCACTAATTCTTTTTGCTGCAATGTTAACAGTGATTGGAGAGATTGATGAGTCAATTTAGTATGTTTACAAATACATTTAGTGATAAATAGTCATGAAATGTCAGCTACGGTGACATAGATACAATTAATCTGATATAAATCGAATAAATCATATTTATTTGGGTATTTTTAGAAAAAATCATGAATTTGTTTTTTCATTCTGGCGAAGCCCAATCAGAAGCTTCTTCCAAGTCAAATTCAGTGTGTTTCCTCATTCCATACTGTGTCTTTTGCGAAGGTTCCGTCCGCGAGGTGGCCAGAGAACTCGGCAAGCCCGAAGAGGTGACCAAGCCCAACTTCCTCAACGAGTACGATCCCCTGGCCGGCCAGCTTCATCAGCAGGCCGCCCATGAGTCCAGGTTACGTGTCACGACGGAAACCTACAGCCTTGATGCCGGCGGACACGTCCCCATGCGGCCCACCACTCCCGTAGTAGCGGATGACATGTCGCGGCTCATCCGAAAGGTATCCGCCTATGCGCCTCCAGCCATGAAGTTTCGTAATACAAGCCGCGCTGCGTTGCGAAAATCTAACAACCGCCTCAGTATTGAAAAAAAAAAAAAATTCGAGAGATGGGTTTATCTGTCATGCAACGAATAACGATGTTGCCTGAGGTTCTGATACTGTGGCACCATGGGGGCGATGTAATAGACTGCTCTTTCAAAGGGGCGCTTCATCTAGTACCTGCGGCGCCAATTCTATATCCGAGTTTGCAATTGTCTGATCACGTATAAAAGGGAGCTGCGTCATCCTTCGGCGAGGAGTCGGGTCCAATCACACGCGTCGTAGCCAAGGATGGATGACTGGATGGATGGATGGAAATGACTATACCTTTTGTAACGGGCGGTACCTTGCGCCACCTAGCCTCAGTCTAAAAAGACATATGATTCCTCCCGCCGTTCTAAGCCAATTTGCTCCACCTAACTCTCACCAGGCAGTGTGGGATATCACCAGGATTACCCTTAAGGGATTGGAAAAGAAACAAAAAAAAAACATCATTTCCTGTTTTGTTTTTTTCACTGTGAGCCTATTGGCGTCACCCTAGTACCGGACTCACTGGGGGAGAGGGTTAAAACTTTGAGCCGGAGACTCGCGGAAGGGAGTCCCAGTTTTCCTCTGTCCCTCCTGTCTGCAGCTGTGCTAGTTAGTTGTGCATCATTCAATGTTCCCATTTTCCCTAGATAATTTCCACCAATCTTCTATTCGCCTCTTTGAGACTGTAATTCATTTTTTTCCGTCCTTCCATCGTACCCAGCGAAACCCAGGGCCCCGGCCAAATCTGTTACCCCTTCAGGGAGGGCAGGGCGAAGTCCCGTGCACTTCAATGCCAAGCGCTCTAGTGTCTCGCTCTCATTACGGCGGGCAGCATAATGTGTCTGTCTCCTGAAATTAAGCCCTACACGTCCTCGTTCTCAAAACTCCCGCTCTCGCCTCATACTGTATAGAACTTCCCAGTGAATTGTCAAACTCATTTTCCTTTCTTATGTCCTGTTTTGGTGTCCTCTACATGGTTGGGGACGATTTTTCCCGCATTTTTTCTACGGCGAGCGCCAATATTGCTTGATGGGATTTTCGAAGAGGATCTATTGTTCCCACTCCAAGAGGACTACAATCTGGCGAGAGACGGCGCTCTTATGCAAGAAAGGGCGGAGCCGTCTCATTAAAGCTGGACGCCCATTTTCTGCCTTTGAAGCGCGTATCATCCGGGCTGCAAAAGGTTGAGTGCACTGTGGAGGTTGTCGACGCTTGCGCTGCGTCTGATGTTCCGCCAAAGAAAGTTGCTTGGTCATCTCAGAACGTTTTCAACGTTACCAAAGAGGAAAGTGCGGGGAAAGCTGTTTGGGAACGAGTGCTTAATCGGCATCCTGCTAAGACTCATATATGAACCGACTAAACACACGGGTCTCGGCCGCAAGCTCACGCAACACTCGTGTTCTAATCCATGCCCAGCTTTGCGCCTTGAACAGATGATGTCGAAAATACAACACTTGCGCCTTCTTATCTATAATCGTTGTCACATCCAGAAAAAAAAGATGAAGATGAGTCAGTTTTCCGCTATATTCAAGCGCTCCGCGAAGTAGCGCGTGCAAGATTCAGTTGTTGAAAAAAGAAAGGGTGCTTTAGACGTTTGAAACCTGTACATTTTAAAATAATAACGCAAAGTTAATCTAAGATGCACAAACCTATATCTTAATTCACTACATAAAAGGGGAAATTATTAACGTACCGCAAGAAACCAGACTTTTTTTCTCTTTTTTTTTTACTACGGTTTTTGAAGTGAAAGTAGTGGTAGGCAGAAGGGATTTTTGGAATGAAGAGGGTGCCCGAGCAACTGCTAACTGCATCGATGCGTTAGCAGTTGATAAAGCACTGCTCTTTTTTTTTCTTCTTTTTTTTTACCGCTCTCGGCCGTTTTAATTTTTCATCGAATCTGTCTTATCGCGCTTTTCTGACGCGACTTAGGTGGCAAATCCTACGGCAGTGGATATAAATGCGAATGGAGCCACGTAGGGTGCTCTTGTATACTCGTGTCTTTTGTGAAATGATGACGACTCTACAATGTATCACTCATTCATTGTCTGTCTGTTTCAAAGTACGCGTGAACTGGTGTTTCGCGACACGAGCACGTAGCTTCCCCCTGTCACTAAAAAGCATTTTATATCGCCTAAAGTTAATTTCTGTGTCACATTCGCAAACAAATGATCTGCCTATTCGCGGTAAGAAGCTCACGAGGGGCGCTTTCGTTTTCCTCACTATGAGTGATGCGTGCGCTTTTCCCATGCGGTTTTTCATAGTACTTAGAAGCTTGGCATTGCACGTGCTTGGACCAGCAGAAGTTGAGTATCATCACTCCGGGTTGTGAAACAATTCCATCAGGCGGCATTCCCCAAACTTCTCGCCGCGAGTGGGTTCATACTCATACTTAACTTAAGCAAATATTAAATCCATTCTTGGCATACTTCTTTGCTGTTATTTTCGTGCAGTCGGCACAAAAACAGACTAGCACAAGAGATCGGCGGCCGGGACGGTAAAATCACCACAGGCCATGCAGCGTTGTCGCAACTAACACAAGAAGCAGTAAAGAAAGGTTGTTCGTGCACCGTTTAATTTCGGCGAAACAGTTATCGTTTGGAACTTTTTTGCATATCAAAACTCTCCTCTATCCGTGTCGCTGTAGAGTCTTAAAAAGTTCCTATGACGGCAAAACTAGGCATAAAAAAGAAGACATCGCTGCTCTCAACCAGGAAGCGAAAATTGCCGCATGTGCAGAGTCATGTGCATAGCTATATAGTATATAACATCAAGATACACTCGCACCTGTTCGCTTCCACTCTCACTTCTTTTTTCATATACAGTTTTTTGTTAGACTTATAGCTCTCAAGTTTTGAGCAGTCCTGCTGGTGCGGAAAATAAAATATTTTTAGGTCGCGTTTCGGTGACGCGGCATTCAACGCTTAAAAATAAATCCAAATAAACAACAACAAAAAAAAAAAGAATAACTAAATTTTTATTGTTTTGATAGGATGCTGATGTCCCGGGCTGCACTCTTGATTTACAATTTCGCTTCACTTTTTCAAACATTGTGTTTCCGTGCGAAGGCAAACCCTGACAGGCGCTTGTATGGACCTTTTCTGTGTACTCTCGTCCCCAGCCACCTAATAGGCATATCCAGTACGGGCGACGAAAAAATACTAAAACGTTTCAACCTGTAACTAGTAAAAAAAATAAGGGGGAGGCAAAACGATAATGTGTGACGGTTACGCTTATATCCTAAGTGTATTCTACTGGCGTGGCGAAGCTGGTGGATATTTACCATGATGGACCTTAACCCGAGACTGGAGTAGAAACAGAAACTTAAAAGTAGAAGGGACAGAGACAAGTGAAGAAGAGAACGTTCTCTTCTTCACTTGTCTCTGTCCCTTCTACTTTTAAGTTTCTGTTTCTACCCCAGTCTCGGGTTAAGGTCCATCATGGCAGAACAATGTTTTCGCCCATACTGGAAGTGACGGCAATTCAAGATGGCGGAGTCCTTGAAGAAATGGTCTATAGGATCTGTGACTCGTGCGTGATCGGATGCTGTAACGCCGTTCATATATGGTCGTGTCTTGCGAGCGCTGAAGGGACCGTTTACGCCGGCATTACATGACCGCGTATTGCGGACGCGCTCGCGCCCTCTGGCCAAGAAAAAAGGACCTACGCGGAGTGCAAGTTCGCCTGCTTCTTTGCAGGGTTTGTGGTCGTATCGTGCCGCAGAAGAACCATGCAGTTTTGACTAAACGAACCCGACGGCCGCGGCCGTTCAAGGACCGCTGCGCAAATGCGGACGCAGGGAGGAACTGGAAAGGGGTGACGTTGAGTTTCTCCTCTCCACAATACCGAAAAGAAAATGGGAGTGTCTACATCCACGCGCGGGGATGTAGCCATGTCGGGAGGAGATAAGGCTCCATCCACGCACTACGTCACTTCCGGCGCTCACGTCACTTTTTTGCGTGAACGGAAGCAGTTCTTTTTTCGTCTTCTCTCCGTCCACGCAGCAATCAACCTACGGGGTCTTGTCTCCCATTGTTTTGCCTTGTGCTCGGTGGCCACTGCTCCTTGCGTTCCTGCCGTGCGCGGACAGCTGCTCCTGCCTGGTCTTCCCCAAGCAGGTTTATCTGAAGTGTTGTTTTTATTTGTTTTGTTTTGTTTTATTTTCTTTGTCAAGAAAACTTTCTGTATTCAGACGGTCGCGCTTCTGATATGCCTCCAGTTTTGGTTGCCGGGGATTCGATGGTGAAATACTTGTCCCAGTATTTCACATCGAATAACCGGGTGGCTGTCGAAGTGCGGGTGTTTAGTAACATTAGGATCAAGGCTTTGCTTCTCAAAGTGTCTGACGCCCTGCTCGATTTTGGCAAAAACAACACCAGCGTTTGTGCCTGCGCGTACGTTGACAAGTACCGTCGGCTGGCCGCTCAGATCTTGGAACGCAATCCGACAACGCAGATCGCTTTTTGTTCCGAGTTGGGAGAACAGGTTCTTTTCGTTGGAGTGTCAGCGTAGGCAGAGTGCAGTGATCCAGGCGTACAATGATCGGCACAGAGAAGTGAACTGGCTCCTGCAGGAGTTCTGCCGCAAGAAGGGCTTCGTGTTCATCGGTGATCTCGTGGACGAGTGGCATCTGTGCATCGGCTACTGTTTTATTTGTCATGAAATAAGCTGTTTCTGGAATCTTTCACCCAGTTTTCTCGATTGAATGCTCTCAATAGGTTTGTTATTACTGAGTCTAGTGCATGCTTTCCCTTCTCGCACAATCTTTGTGAGATAGCGAGCGTGCGCGCAAGTCAAGAACATACGAAGCGTGTGCTCGCACTTGTCCCCTTCGATGCACATAAGCTCACACTACAACGCCTTAAACGAATTAAGCCAATCACATACACGGCGAAGCCTCGCCGCCTCGCTTCAGCAGCGATGTGCACATGCGC